AGAGCGACTAGACGCGGACAAAGAGAGACACTGGACGACACGATTGCTGACCGCGTTCGTGTCGTCCAGTCTCTCTTTTTGTCCGTGTCTATAGTCGCGCTCTTTCAAGGTGAAGATTCTGTAAGCTATGTTTTCCTCTTTTCTTGTGTATAATAAAGTGCCTCCAGTGATCTGGCATCATTGGGAAGACCGTAGGTCCACTGATGTCCGTGTTTAAGCCCCGCCGTTCCGAAGCGGCCGCAATGCTCCCAGCTTTCTATTTCGATCATCATATTTACTTTATGCTCCCAGCCGTGGTTGCTACAATGCCAGTATCTGCAGAAGACTGCCAAACTCCCCCAGTATCCTTTCTTTCTAGCGCCTATATCGCCCGGGTGAAAAATGCCGAGTCAAAATCGAATTCGGGGGGTTTCGTAGCAAACCAGCGAAGTGCACCTGGCACGCCTCAGCGGATGACTGAGGATTAGGTTGGACCGCCTGGGAACTTTTGACGTGCAACCAAAATCTCGGTCACACGGTACCTACACCGCAATAAGTCTCCGTCAGATTGCGGGCACCTCGGTCGAGATTCGAACCCACCCCCTACAGGGATCCCGTAGGCCGGCGCTTTGCCTCGGAGCACCAAGGATGCCGAGTCATGGGGCCGTGGACGAATGCGCGCCGTTTGATATTCCTCCGCACGTCCACGACGCGTTCCAGAGCCCAGTAGACAACGATGGCGGCCCGCAGAAGGCGATTCCCCGAATGGTCCACTGGAAACGCTTTCCGCAGATGACCGCCAAAAGCGAACGAAGGCTGTCGCTGCTGACGCGTGCCCAGGGTGACCGCGCATGCGCAATGACGTCAGTCGGCTGAATAACGGTGAACCGTTCGCGGTTGGCTAATTAGAGTTCCCAGGCTTCCGGCGCGCGGTGGAGAGGACGGCCGCACTTCCTGAAAAGCGTCGGAAGCCGCCGGACGTCCGCCTCGACGCACCCTCACGTGCGATGGGATCCCGTCCGTTCTCCGGCTCGTTCAACCCTAAGCTGACAGAACGGTAAAGCTACAAACCCGTTGGACCATTCATACGTCTACCTTACGCCACGTGACCACGCTCCCGCTCATGCTTACGCGCAAAAACCGGGGTCAGGTGATAAGAGGGAAGCGGCTGATTGAATCGGCGAGCTCCTAGCTTCCACCACACTGTCAGCTTAGGGGTGAACGGAGTAGAGGCCTACTCGCGGAAGCTCCATCGGGCCCTTTTTTCTTTTCCGCGCAGCCGCTATCTTTTTAAAGTTACGAGCTTTTTAGAAAAACTAAAGAAAAGAAAAAAAAAAAAAAAAGCAAGACCGACGACAAAGGGGCTCGGCGCTTTTGATTTGAGATGAGGCTTTGGCAGGAGCGGCTGTCTCTCGCCGAGTTTAACTGCCCGTTGTGAAAATTAAGGGTGCGGGTCGCTCGTTTAGGTTTACTGAGAGGCCGCGGAACACAAACCCAACCAAATACTAGCAAGTTGTGTCATTTTATTGGGTTATATAGTTTCCTACAGTCATTACAATAAGAAGGCAGTCAAATATAGGTATCTAAATATTTTCTTAACATTTTTAAAAAGAAGGATTCAAATATCAGTAGGAAAGAAAAAGTATTTACCATTATAACTGTTTGCTTAATATTGCGGTGGTTAGCTTAAAAGATACTACTAAATGCATTTGGATATTTATAACAATTAACATATTAATATATCCTTTATTGCGCAGCAAAATTACAATGTCGGTGGAGGACATGTAAGAAAGCAGTTAAAATAGTTTGACCCAACCCCCAAATATAATTCTGTTGGAAGCACATTTTCTAAAAGTAATGTAGTGATGAAAGGATTTGAGATATTTGACCATAATATAAAAGCTTCGCGAACAGAATGACAAATAAATGAATAACACAAACTTTGCACTGGCGCGCGACTTCAAATTATATGAGAAATCAGCAATCACATTGACGGTTAAAGTGTCCTTCGCCAAGCCATCCCATTATAAAAAGAAGTAAAAAAAGACGGAGCGCCAGAAGAGCATGCCCAATATTGGACGAACTCAAACTAGCCATCTGATATCGCCGACCGTAACTCTTTAACAACTCTTAAATCAGGAGCGTGCAACGTAACTCGAAAGGTTGTTTTTATGTCATGCAGCCACAAACCGACTCTCCCAACTGCAAACGTTGATATACTGAACCATTTGGTAGGAATCAACCTACAAAGATCTAGCTGACAACGTTTTCGTCTTACTCGATAGAATGGTAAGAACATTTATTGGGTGTGTCGATGTGTCGTTAATTGCACTACTAAGAATCATTGTTTTACATCAAGTGGGCGAATACATGGCACATCATGTGTGTACTGTTAGTCTAAAGGCCCCACCCGATATTTAGAACGAACCTCACATAGTACATTTTGCGCCGCTACCTATGCGGCGTTGATCACCAAAGCCAAACTGCAAAGGCCTATTTTATGAGGAGGAGCGGGCAATGAATCCATAGTGCAATCTCGGTCTTCAGAAAAAAAAAAAAAAACTTACTACGCAAGGTTGACTTTGAAAATAGCTTGTGTGATCTTTATTCTACCGGGTGAATATATTAATTTTAAGCCAGTCAAAAGAAATGTAAAAGAAGTAATCTCAGCTGCTACAATGCAAGTTTACCAGATATAAACCGATGTGAGGTGCATTTTATTTTCGAAAATTGTAAAGAAGAACCTTGCCTTATTCAACAGTTAGAAATAATATATCAAAGTTCTTTTTTTTTGTGTGTGTGTGTCAACAAGAAGATATGTTGGTCTGAGTCACCGAGGCAATTTATTTAACAAACCGCGGAACGAGGGTATAGCGTAAAATTATTTTGTGCTCCTCTTCGTTTTGTGTTATCAAACCTAAGTTATAGGAAGAGTACAATTTTATTTCTAAGCTCTAAGCAAGGCAAGCTTTTTAAAATATTTTTTTACAATCAAACGGAACACTTGTTGCACATTTATATTAGTATAAAGTGTCACATCATACAAAGCAGATTTTCGCAATCTATTTGAAATGGTTTTCATTAATCCGATTCACTCAATGCAGACAAAAAAGTTGAATTTTTACAACATCGAAATCATTAAAATAATCACGAAAACATGCGCCAAGAACAATGAAATACAATATAAAAATGTGTAATAAATATAAGACACAGAGTCAGATCATTTTGGTTGACTGAAATGGTTAAAATGACTTCAAGATGCTAAGACCAATGCAATATTATAAATATAAAATCAAACATTAACCGCACAATTGTACTGATTTGGTTGATTTAGTAGTATAGACGAAAATGTTGAGTTTTACAAATGCGTTGTTATAAAATTCTAACGAACTATGTGCCAGCCTATTGCCAAGCCAAAACTAAATGAGACATAAGTGTTCATGTACATATTGTTTCGACCAATTTAGAAGATCGAGAGACACCGCAGTGCATTTATTTCGCGTTTTTATGTTAATATTTGTATTTCAACAGGTAACATTAGGTATTGCATGCCATTAAAACCGAGTGCTTGAAGATATAACGTACTAATCTTTTATAGTCAATTTACTTTATACGGAAAACAACTATCACTCGTTAAGTAGTTCATACTATAAAATGCAAAACAAAAACGCCTGTTAAGTTATTTACTAAAAAAACAGAAACGATTGATTGACTGATTCTTTGATTTCACGAAAGGCTCAAAATGGCGACTAATGGTAGCTACGGGACCTAGTTTTTTTGTACTTTCCAATTTGTAGCACGACGTCGTTAGCGCGTCGTGTCTCCGAATTGCCAACTTTTCTTACCGATGTATGACAGAAGGCTTCGTACGACGGCATGCGTTTAAAAGCCGAACGAGTGTCTTGCACGGAGGAATGATATGTAAATATCTTGGTTCTGCTTGTCAACGAGCGAATTCTCAAATATAAGTAAGTTTTGCTGTTCCATAGGCGGCATGCTGTCTTGGGAAAGTTCAAGAACTGTCTGGGAGAATAACGCAAGAGGCCTAAAATATTTTAATCGCGCTTGTGTCTTCTTTCAGCCTCTTTCATTCATCCTGCAGAACCCAAGCCAAGGAAGTTTTAACGTTATCGGCGGCTTCTAAAGATCCGCCTGCGTCAAACGTTGAACAGGCGCGGATAAATAATAAAAAAAAATTGCCCAAATATTGTTCAGCAAGACGCTACCGAGCCTGGTTAAAATGAGCAGAGGAAAAACATTTTTTTTTTTGGCTCCTGGTAGAATTTGATTAAGTCAGAATAAATTGATTGCTTTCTTTTCGGGATTTGCCCTGTCGCAAGCAAGCGAAACGATCTCGGAAATGTACTCAGTGCGCGAAGATCGCTATTACATATAAATAGGAAGCCTGTTTCATCAGGTTGATATCGTTCTGGGAGCGCGCTTTAAGCAAATGTTTGAAATGGCACCGCGAGCTCTTGGTACTATCATTCTAACAAAGACAGAATCTAGCAGAGCTTCCGCTCAGTGATCCGATACAAAGCGACCAACTTCGTAATATATATTAGTGGTGATGGTAAACGAAATTTAATGACCCACACGGCTATTCTGGCAAACCCAGTCGTGCTGATTTTACCTCGCCCAACTCAAATAAGTGTCAGTACTCAAGTACTATTCGCCGCTTTGAGAGAAAATAATTTACTTTATTTAGAAGCATAAAAAAATCATAAAATGACAAATGAATTTATAAACTTTTGTTTCCATAAACGGGATATCATCGAAACCTCGGTCATTTTTCTAGCTTTCGTGATTACTCCTCAGGCGGTAATGTTGACTTCTAACAAAAACGTTCCAGAATTAACGGTGTGCTTCAGCACACTGTGAGCAGCATGTGGGTAACGAAGAAAGCATATTCACAATACACTGCGGTTTACAGCTTCTCAGTAAAAGTTACCCACAAATATCTTAACCAGAGGACTGGTCCTTCCCTATAATAGACATTGCGAGAAAAAAAAAGCACTCACCTTCGGTCAAAATCCTTAACGCTGCGAGGAACGAGACCAAGGGCACCATAGTGGACCAGCTATAGACCATCTTGGGCCGAAGCTCCGTCTAGGAACAAAAAACGACGATCATTGTAGCTAGTCCACACTCGTGTCCAATACATCCAGTCTGAGGAACACAGCTACATCAGCAAAAGATCGATGGCCAAGCGGGAGTTCCACGACGCCAGTACCAGGACAGCCGAGATCCTCGGCAATCCAGAGGACCGGCCACTCGCGTTTGCCTCGTCCGGCCTGGCCATTGGCCCGTTGCAGAAGCGCGCGCCGTGACGTCACTAGACGGCGTCCGGTCGGCCAATAGGAAGCCGTCCCGCTGGCATTCAAATGTGGGACTTCCGCTGGCGAGGTCGTGCGCTTGTGTTGCTTTGCCTCCGGAAGCTTCGATGGTTCCCGACTGTCCCTCTAGTCACGGTTCAACGGGTGACGGTTTTGTGACAGCGGGTGCGTTTTGGGCTGTGGTGTGCGGACGTCTATATGGCACGGCGGGTGCACTGCGCGTCTGTTCGATATATTGTTTGGGCCGCCGTAGCGGGTCGTCGGGTTTTGTGAATTTGGAAAACGCGGCAGCGGAGTCGAAATGCTTTTGTGTGGGAGGACGTATCCGCCTGCAGCGTGGGTCGGGCGTTAAAGTGACAGACGGATCATATGACCGTTGCTTGCCGATAATGGTTTACTAGGACGACCGTTAAATGTATGATGATGAAATAACAACGGTCCGTGAAGAACTGATAAAGGCAGAGGTTGAAGCTTCTATTAGGGGAAAGACTGAGTGCGCAAGCGTGCTGGTGGTAGCTAATCTATGTCTCTGTCTGTGTCTGTGCCTGTTCCTTCGACTAAAAAATTGTCTTTTGCAATACAGTCTCAGGTGTTAAACGACATGAGCAGCTTCTATGCTTGCTTTAGATAGAAACTGTAGTTCTTATACATTTTTGGGCTAGTTGTTTGATGGTTTCATATTTTCCTTCCGGTTGTCGTAGAGTAAAACAACGTTAACAAGTACCTCAATACTCGATAAGATTCGGCAAACGATATCGAAATTTTTATGTTTCCGTGGAACAGCCCCCCCTCCCAATGTATTAACGTAACAACGATGTGTAGGATTAAAAAAAGAATCTAGTAAATATTGGTTAGTAGTGTGACTTTTGTGTTTTTTGCGTGTCTTCTTTCTTTCTTTCACTTTTATTTGTTGCATTCTTATATTACGTTTCTTGCTGTTTTTGCTTAGCTGACTGCAAGGCGCTGTCAGTCGAGCACACTGTGTCTTTGTTATATATTTGTATATATTTCGTAACAAACACTAAATGCTGAATTAAGAATAAGTTCATGTGTATACACGGCTTGCTATATGCACACAGTATTCCAATGAGAAATCTTAGCACGTAAAACAAACGACAAAAATGAGCAACTGATATACTAAGCTCAATCTTCCTGCGAAAACGAAACTAAGTAGGTTATTTATTATACTAAAGCAGTGAGTGGTTCTCAATCACTGATATTTTGGGGACCCCACACGGATACGCAAAAGTGATGGAAGACATCATACACCGGGGAGGATAGAGGATAATAGGTGATTACGATGACGAAATTGTAAATAAATAAAAAAAACTAAATGCATGCAAGCCAACTTTGAAGCTCCTAAACTTTAACTAATGGACCCTGCTCACACATGTAAGAAAATAGGCGTCAATTAGAAAAAAAAAATTAGTACCCGTTTGAGTGTTTTGGGGACCCTAATGGTGCATTCACGTTGGCGGTCGAATCGCAACCGCGAGGCGGATCCGCTCGATTTCGTCATCTAATGCGCGTGAAACTGCACTGAATCTTCAAGCAACCGCGTTTGCAACTGCTTTGCGATTGCGGTTCAACCGCCAGCGTGAATGAGGCATTAGATGGCCTTCAGGGACCCCAAGTGTCCGTGGACCCCCATTTCAGAACCACGGTACTAAAGTTTCAACTGTCTACTCACTTCGTGTCTAGAATGTTAGGAGCGACAAACTTAACGAATGATAAAGACAGATTAATCGTTGGCTATTCTCTCATGTGCTTCCAAAGTGCAGCAATATTATATGCATATTTGGATGTCATAAAAATATTCTCAGCGGGTGACACGCCATAAAAATTTATTTTGACACAAAATAAATGCAGGTCATTATTAAATATTACTACGAGGGCAGATTTTGAGAAAAAATAGCTCCCCTTGTCTATTTATTAATTTTTATGGTTACAATTTTAATTTAAGAAAAATCTGCTCAAACTGAGATAGTCGGTCGTGTTAGTGCAGTATATGTTCAGTCCACCAATTCAATGTGAGCTTTTGTAAGTTTAGGATGCCCTATCGATGATACGTCGAAGCCTTCGTTTTGAATAACTCCAAAATTTTATATATATAACGTCGTCATTACTTGGTTATGTCAATACTGTCCAAAAGTAACAACTTGTTAAAACCTCAAATTACTCTTATCCGTGAGTTGTAATTTATTATAAAAAGACCACCAGCGTGCGTTATGGATTCAATTCAGTAGGCTAGGTCATCGGTCCTTCTATTCAATAACGCATATAAAGAAAATGATAGTAAAAATAAACCACACCAACAAATAGAAAAACTTATACTGACACAACTGGACTCATTTGACTCGCAGTTCCTAATGGTCTCTCGCTTTGTCGCTCATTGGCGTAGACCTTGGCTCAATTCTTGTCATGCGCGACGGGGTTTTGTCATCGGATGTAGACTCTGGGGGACGGCGCGCATCACCGAAACAATCACTCTGTCCTTTCCTGTCGTCGACCTTCTGTGAGATACTGATTCAATACGCGGCAAGGGAAGAGCTAATGAAAACACGCGGCTATTCTTTCGCTTGCATTTCGGAGGTCGCCTTTCCCATGATCGCAGGTGATCTCCTGTAAAAGGTAGTAGCAATTTTTTTTTCGCATACGCAGCATTATTACTGGGACTATTTATTTATTTATTCACTTCATAGTACCGGAAGTGAAGTTTGTGGCACGGGCAGGAGGGGAATTCTTAAAATACACCGGGTTGAAAATTGTAGACCGAGAAAGAGAGGGGAAAAAAGAAAGATGCATATCATGAATTCAGTAGGTAAAAGAGCAAGCCACATATTTATTTTGTATTAACCCAGTTGTCGTACACGCAGGGGTGAATGACGTACAAAAATTGAAGGGGTGGCACGTAGGGAAGCAAATGTGAGGCGGGAGGTGATCAAACTTTGGGCCGTCTCGGAGGAGATGCACAATCTATTGTGTACCATCACACGGTTCCAGGGAAGGGGGCCACAGATAAACAGGCAGGTTATTAAGGCGAACGGAGTTACTCGAGAAATGAGGGAGGCGCTAAGGAAAGGATAGATGCCAACCAAGAGGTGTATGGGGCTGGAGCACACCACCTTTTCTCCTGGGATGGCACCTATTACAGAGTACCCACGGAGTGGCAGGTGGGGTACAAGATAAACCGTAGAGCCATTTTTTTATTTTTTTATTTTTTTTTTGTTTTGCGGGAACGTACGGGTTTGAGGTAAGCCCCTGTTTAACAAAAGATAAGGAAACAACAAGGGGCAGAACTAAGATTCGAAGGAGAAAAAATAAAATACAACATAATGTAGGATTCATAAACGTGCAAGGTGGCAGGAATAGGGTGAAGCGGGCCAAAATTGAGGACCAACTCCTAAAGAAATATTTCATTGTATATTAAGTCGCGAAGATATGGTGGTCCTTCCATATTTTAGATATAGGGAAGGATCACCTTTTAAATTGGTACTCGTCGATAGGATGTAACAGGAGAGGAAAGGTCAGAAAGGAGGGAGGTCTTGGGGCATTGACGAAAGGGCAAGACTGGGAGAGAGTCAAGCTAGACTTTAGAGGACATTTGTGGATGAATGGTAGTATCTATTGGGGGGGGGGGGGGGGGGGGGAGGGGGGTAGGATGCCAACACTCTTGGTATTTGTATATTTGTGTACAGGAACTGATTCGAGAGAGGAAAACGCAGAGCACATATTATCTGTAAAAAGAGACATCAGGAAATAGAAAGAGACCAGGAAACACTAATCAGAGGAGACGTGAACGCTCACTTTGAGGAATTGGATGGCTTCACGTTCCCGGATGCGATAAAAAGAAGGTTACAATAGTTATGCAAGGCCTTGATCTGGTACTGATAAATGCACCAATCAAATGTGAGGAGAAAGTAGCATAGAAGAGAGACAACTCTCAATCGACGATAGACTGGTGTATAACGTCTCACAAATTGTACAACGGAATAGGTGGCACGGAAATAGACGAAAAAGGAAAGCTTAGGAGTGACCATAAACGAATTAAGCTTAATTTTGGAAGAACACAACAAGAACAAGAAACACAGAAGCAAGGAGACAAGATAGACTTTAGTGACACACGTCTGAAGGAAATATCAAAGCGAATAGAGGACACAATAGCCACACATGCAGAGAAAAGGGGGTTTGCGATGAATGTGTAAAAATATTCAAAATAAAACGGAGCGAAACCAATCCGGACATATGAACAAAGGTAAACACAAGTCTGTTAGGATAAGGATGCCAAAGCAGCCGTACATCAATAACAGAAAGTGTAGACCAGCAAAGAAATGAAAAAGAAAAAAGTGTGTTTCAGCAGATGAAATAGAGGAAAACTGGAAGGAATTCCCAGGAAAAAAATCAGCTGCGTATGCTTTGACCCAAGACAAGATTTAAGGAGTCGGAATGAAATTAACAAGGGAAATGAATTGATATGATAGGAATGCATCGAAGAAGTTTTGGGAGCACATAAGTTCAAAGGGTAGAAAGACAGAGGTGCGTCACCACTAATAAACTACTGGTGATGGGACACATGTAGAAAGGAAAGGGGCGTGCCAATATATTAAGAGCATGATTCAGGAAATGTTTAAGAGCATCCAGGAACCCCAGAAAGAATATATTGTAGTGGCAGCTAACCAGACCTTAGCAAAGTACCACGGGTAACACTAAGATAACGGAAAGGGCCGAAAGCAGGGTGTCTGTAGCAGATGTGTCCCCAGGAATTGAAATTATGGGGGGGGG